CTATTAATGAAGTATTTTCGCATCTCAGTATCAATTAGTAACAGACTGGAATGCATTCATGGACTTTCTATACTTTTCTATACTTGTAATATGGGTAAAAATATGATGTAAATAATTCGCAAGGAAAGGCAGTTTGCGGCTGTACGTTCATGTAGGGCACATGGTGGCTGTGTTTTCAACGAATCCACTCAAATAGGAAAACTAATTTCTCGGAATATTATGCTTTAAAATTGTGCGTGCAGTGTACAAGATATGGCGAAAAATGTAAAAACCTTAATTAAACGTTCTTAGCAATGGACAGGAATAGCGCCGATGTAATGTTAAGCAAATAGTGTAATACTTGTATTTGGAAAATAGGAAGAAATAGTTTATGTAAAGATGTGCGCGTGTTGCCGATTTGACTGCTAAGCAACTTAATGAGGACTACATAAAAACAGAATAGAACAATGTTGTATAACTTCATGAAGATTTATTGATACTTGAGATTAATATAATGTATTTTCTTTCTAAGGCTATTGAATTATCATGGAAATAGCAGAAAAATTACGGGCAATTATTTTCAGTATTCAACTAACACAACAGTGCTGTGGATAATTTTCCCCCTCTAAACACGTTTTGCGTAGTAGTTGAAATCATACATAAACAAGTAAAGAATGGTGTAAAGCATCAAACGTCTGTAAAAGATACTGAAGCATTTTAAAGTATTTCAACAATAGTCCGAATACTTTTAGGGATTTAATGACATATTTTTAATCCGAAGAAGAAAAGTATAAAATTTTTATTTTAAAAAAATTAATATTTACAAATCAGATATACATATTGTGAGCTCACTGTAAAAATTGTGTTTAGGAAATAAACACTTCTAGTACATGTTTAGATCTAAACGTGTATAGTATTGTGTTTAACAACTAAACACTTATGTCTTAACATGTTTTATATCTAAACGCGTTTAGAAATTAAACACGTTTTACTATAAAGTGCAGAGTTATCTTCCCGGAAATGACACACATATATTTGAACGTTAATTTGAGCGGCTATCTAAACAAAGAAAACACAACAAGCTAAGGTGATGTATCAATGAGAGTTATGACAACCCAATTCAAGGGATAACCATGGCGAATTAGTGAAATACGTGAAAGGGCATCTTGTGCTGCAATACGTTAAAGGTTTGTTTTCTTTTTCTTTGCATTAATTAACCACGATGAGCAACGTAAATAAAGTTGACTTGGGATATCTTGAATTCGTTCATAGACTTGCAGGAGAGGAAATAATATTAAATGTCATTAAAAACACCTATATTTATATCAGTGTAGTTTCACTAAAATTTGAACAATTTTGTTTTTCTAAGTAATGTAAAATATCAGTGATAGTGTACTTTTACTACATTCTGGCTTTCTTTCCTACAGGTACTGTAGTCCAGATCGAACTCAATATACACGTAGCAGAGTACCTGGTGTCACCTTCAAGTGCAATTTTGATGTTCCATAATCAACACTTTGAAACTTCATTTGTTGAAGACTACTGAGTTAATTCGACAGTGTTTACAATATCCTCGTGGATTCGAAATGGATTACTTTCTGGCAGTTATGATGGGATATAGATTATAATATGTGGTGCTTTGGGACTTCCTGAAAGTTAATAAAATTTGATATTTTTGTGATTGACATGAGGAAAACTCTGCAGCCGATTCAAATTATAATGATTATAATAAATATATATGTAAATATACATTTCGTATTTTTAATTTAAAAATTCTTTAATAAAGCCTTTTAGAAATATTTAATGAAGTTTTGATACTAAATTGTCAGCTTAATATTATTTTCTTAATAAATTTGAAGATTAAAAGTTTGTTATCTATGTGTACGTTATAATTATGTGTCAATCTGATTGAATTGTTGGGACTAATCAAATCTATTCAGTTCTGTCTCCTACATTATTTGTGTAAATTAAGTACATGTACATCGCAGTGTCCATTGTATTGTATAATTAAAAACATAAATTATCCCAACGTTCAGTAGCTTTATGGAAAATAATATTGGTTACAGATTTTGAAAATTTTGACAATTGTGCGCATTTAAAAAACATATACTTCTTGTGCCTAAATTTACGAGAGTGTTTTATTCTTCTGCAGGTACAAATTATACTTACGATGTGTTTAGATTTTAAACACATCTGCTGTTATGTGTTTAGAATTTAAACACTTGTGTTCATGTGTTTAGATATGTTTAATTTCTAAGCACACAAGTGTTTAAATTCTAAACACTTTCTAAGACATGTTTAGGAATTTTACATGTTTAGAAATTAAACATATAAAAAAGGAGGTGACAAGAAAGTGTTTAGAAAAGTGTTTGAATTGTAAACACATTTTTTACAGTGAGATCAACATAAAAGACAATTTTTTGTTGCAAATACATTATAAATCATGTATATGAAAATCAGAGATAAAAGGATAGCACCGAATGTTTTATCATCAAACAAATATCTTTATACTCAAAATGTATATTTACCAATTATCTCGACAAAAGGACGTTAACTCTAGAGAGTTTTGTCACATGACGTTGTTACAAACACGATGCCGATATGCTGCACAACGTGATGAATGTGAAGTGTTAAAAATGTATAATACACAGCTGTAGCATATTCAAAACAAAATGTAATATATAGTCTAAGTTTTATTTATCATTTATAAATACTAGACGCTCGTAGCGATTGTGTAAATATCTTACACACTCCATTAATGTATTTCTTGTAAGATCCTTTCTATAAAATCGTAAATTTATAAATCGCTTATAAATATGAAAAAAAGATATACTAAAACAATTAACTAGTAAGAATATTAGTATTCGATATTTTTGAAATGTTTTATTCATAACGTTAATAAATGATTATGTTTTCAATAAGGAAATATTTATCGACGCAATAAACAAATAACATCTTCATTTTCCGAGTGAAGTTTCTGAAATTAAAGCATAGTTACTAACAGCTAATCTTCAATTTAAAACACTCGTAAACACGAAATGATTTTATTATAAAAAAAATTATCACTAGAGCATTTTAGCTGTCGGTGTTGTACATAATGAGAGGAATTTCAGCGACATTTTCAAGTGTCCAAAATTATTTAGAAATATACATTTTCCAGCAAATATATAGCTACATTTATAGTCTAACTGTGGTCGGAAAACTCGTCGACCATCTCCCCTCCAATAAATTGCGATTTATACGCAAAGCTACCTCTTATAGACTCCTATTAGGAGATGGAAAAAGAAAATATTTTTACATGTTCTTTTTTCTTTTATTAGGTTTGAGAAATACATTGCTGTTTGGAGTAAATATCTGCCATTTAATTTGTATATATTGGGTTTTTTTTTAAAGAAACGGAGAAATATTTTCTTGCAATTTCTTGTATGTGAAATTGATTGATCTTTGGACAGAAGAAGAAAATGTAAAATGCTTAAAATAAAAAGGCATAAGACCATGTTGAATTTCATATCCCAACGGAAGATTCATGACTCACATGTTTGATTATGTATCAAACAACTGTGCTCGCCCTAGCGCAGCCGCTGTCAAGATATTGCTTAAATTCAAATACAAAAGGCAGTTTAAATTCAAAATAATTCTGATGAATTTCAAATTCCAATATGCTTAGCGCTTCCCAGTACTTTCGGTACTTTGATTTTATGATTTTCTCACACAGAAAACAATTTTGATTCCGTATTCACGAACATGAAAACAGAGTTACACTTGGGGTATTTCATCCAATTTGAAAAATCAGCTGTTCTTTCATTGCACACTGCAGTGGAATTTCAATAAAGACTGACATGTGAAGTATATTATTTATTGGGAGCTCTCATTTCAAAGACATATTTCAATATACAACAAACGTAAATCACATTGATGAGAAAATGGGAAAAAAGTTGTGTAATACATGAGTTTAATATTTGCAAGTTTTATATATGAAAACCATCTCCAAAATTCTTATAAAATTAAACTTTGTTTTATATCAAAGATATCAAAATATAACAAGATAATCCCCCAGATTAAAAACAAAGCACTTACTCAACACTGTTACACAACATAAATTTTCAGTTCTAAATTTACTTTTTCACACATATGTATGCTGGCTTTCATAAAAAGTTTCAGCTTTTAACTACTGCTTACACCTAAATTGTTCATGACCAGAAAGAAGTGGTCAAGACCAGAAATGGTCAGAAGTGGTCAAGATATGAAATGGTCAGAAGTGGTCAAGACCAGAAATGGTTAGAAGTGGTCAAGACCAGAAATGGTCAGAAGTGGTCAAGACCAGAAATGGTTAGAAGTGGTCAAGACCTGAAATGGTTAGAAGTGGTCAAGACCTGAAATGGTCAGAAGTGGTCAAGACTAGTAGATTGTCATCAGTATGAGCTACTTACTACATCAGTTATATAATCACATCAATACAACAAACGGTTAGCTTGTAGCACTAGCTCTTTTTTATCCTAAAACAGTTATTTACTGAATTGAAAGAAAACAACTTGAACTAAACTGGTACATACATCTATTAAATTCCCAAAGAATATAAGGACATAAACTTCTTTGAAAATGGAAAATTATATTACATATGTGACATTTTATATTAACTTCACCCCTGTAGTGATTTTAGAGATGACAGACTACTAATGATTAATTTCACTCTGTTTTCTGCTTCAATTTTATGTCCAATGCATTTGTGATCAAAGCGTAATTTTTCACTTATTTACTGAAGTAACACATATACCGAACAAATATTGAATTAATCATTTTACTAAGGAAAAGTCACTACATTTCCTCAGAACTTGTGCCCAAACCAATTTCTGTTACATCATGGTACATTTATTAAAAATATATTAAAACCAAATTTCAATAGTTTTGAAAGTCATCAAACATTATTATAATCATCATATCAATATAATGCATTAATATGATAATATGAATATATTATATTCACAGTAAATCAATACATACAAAAACATAAATCAATGCTGTAATACACAAGAATATAGTACTGTTTCAAAATATGTGCATAGCAGCATACATATATTTTTCTCCAAATACACAAAAATGAATGTTACTTAATAGTTAATACTTGTAATATATGTTAAAATTATCACAACAATCTATAAAGTATTTTCACACAAAAAATACTTTCACATAAATATGTATACTAGTATGAGGAAGTTCATGTGCATATGTAAACTTGTCGTGTAAAGAGGAAACTTAAAGAACTTTTAACGCAGAAATGGAAGTTTATTGTGAAGTCCATAAGTCTGAAATACAAAATAAGATTAGAAGTTACTATAATATTTCTCTCAAAGTAAAGCATACATTTACATAAAGAAAATTATACAGCTGTACATTTAGATATATAGAAAAATAATAATGCTATATGAATAACAACATATTTAGACATACAACAATTAATCTGTATCTGAAGCAAACATTAAATGACTAGAAATATTTAAGCTTCTAAGAATATATTCAGCAGGATGCTGCTTTAATGACTGTAGGAAATAACAAGAAATGAGTCTTTACAGATCTACAAGTGAGGAATAATCAAGCATACATCAAATGTGATTAAATGTGAATTATATCTGAAGAATACAAAAAGGCAGCATTGTGTATTGAAAACAAATGAAAGAAAACATCCAAACTGATAGGACAATACTTGGTGATATTTTAGCACAATTTCAGGACCATGCAGAATTAAAAAAATACTAATCAAAAAAAAAAACTTTCATTTTAATTAGTCAAATCTGATTTTTTACATCTATTACCTTGAAAAGTACAGCAAAAATAGTTCCAAACAAGAAATAGGGAATCAAGGTTCGTAAACCGGATTTTTTGGGCGATTTCCTCATGATCCATGAAACAATGCTCCCTTTTTTCTCTGAATATGGAGGGTACCGTATTCTGCATAAAGAGGGAAAAAATACGTAAACATCTAGCCTTACTTAAACAAGGTGAGTATTATCAAGCAAAGTGAACTGCCTAATATGTAGGCAGTTATCCCATGATGTCTGCTTCTGGAATACTGTTAGATACTGACGAAATAAATATGACAATATTCATAGCAATGAGCTATAGAGCTGTCCAGGCTATAGACATTTTTTATTTTCCCTCAGACTGAAATTTCGCATTTTCATTATTTATATGTGACCAGCTATGTTTCTGAGTGCAGCAGGTGAGAATTTACATCCACAAAATGGCTGCTGCTTAAAATCTTTATATTATGAATCATCCTTTCTTCTGTATGTGCTTCTCATATAATAGTCCTCCAGAAAATAAATCACTTAGGTTTGATACATACTGCTATAGAAATTTTGGGTTGATCAATCTTATGGACAGTGAGGTGAAGCTCCTTCTTCTCAACATATATGAGATTGATTAACCCAATATATTTCCATAGACAGCAACAAAACTAATAGGTAATAATGTACAGGTCTGTGCTCATTTCTATGATCCAAAGTATATGTATAGTCAAACTTCATTTTATAGATATTTAGACCTTACATGGATAAGATAACAAAAATTTTCTCTTAAATGGCCAATTTGAAAATTAATCAATTCTATGTCAGAAGATATTAATCCCTTTAAAATACATATTTTATACAAAAGACAAAGTTTGACTATACATAATATCACAAGGATGGTGGAATTGTAAATTACAGGAAATGGTTTGAATTTCTGAGGGCAATCTAATCTTATGTACAAGTACTGATTAACATCAAAAATAATTAATACATGTAAATGTAAAATTCACTGAAATTTTATTTTTACAATACATTACAGACATCTTGTTGATTATTTTTGCCCTCAGTAAAATTCAAGTGAGCTAAAATATAGGCAAAGGAAAACTTGGAAAACACTGCATCTTGAGTAATCTTCTCAAGACAACTTACCACGGTTTATCATTCTGACCAGAACAGATTTGACTTTTAGAATCCCAGCCAGGACAGAAGACCACCTGACTTGGGTGATTTCTTGGTTAACCAGGCAATAGTGCTCTGTTTCTTCTCAGTGTAGGGTGGGTAACGAATTCTGTAGATTTTGTCATGACAGAAAAAAATGTTCAGAGTAACACTTTAGGTGTAAAGGAAATTTCTGACAATTTATACAACATTTTCCAGTATCAACAATTACAGATTAATGATGTGGGAAATTGTTTTCTCGTCTTATGTTCAAATGGTGATTTTTATACCCCCCAACAGAAGATTTGGGAGCATATAGTTTTTGCCCTGTGTGTCTGTCTGTCCGCAAAAACCTTAACCTTGCCCATAACTTTTGATTAGTTGGAGCTATGGCTTTCATATTTCACCTGTGTATTCCTTGTGACAAGACCTTTCTTTGGGTACCATCATATTTGACCTATTGACCTTGACCTTGGAGTTTGACCCACTTTTGCAAAATTTTATGAGACTTAAAACTTGGCCCTAACTTTTGAACAGTTGGTGCTTTGGCTTTCAAACTTCATATGTGCATTCCTTGTGACAATACCTTCCTTTGGATACCAACAATTTTGGCATTGACCTTGACTTTGGAGTTTGACCTACTTTTAAAAAACTCTTACCTTGGTCATAACTTCTGAACGTTTGGTTCTAGGGCTTTCATATTTCATGAACATGTGTATCACTTGTGACAAGATCTTCCCTTGGGCACCATTTGACCTTGACCATGACGTTTTACTTACTTTTAAAAAACTTTAACCTTCGCCATAACTTTTCAATGGTTGGTTCTAGGGTTATCATATTTCACAGGTATATTCCTCGAAACAAGACCTTTCTTTGGGTTCCAACATGTTTGATCTCTTGACCTGGAGTTTGACTTGCATTTGAGAATCTTTAACCTTCGCCATAAGCTGCCATACAGGGGCATCAGTGTTTCACAAACACATCTTGTTTAACAATGTAAAAAAACAAATATTCTACTTTTGCTTCCATGCTGTTAAAATATATATATGAATTTCAAAAATTTTTCAATTACACTGTACTACAAATGTTATTAAAATTTGCACTGATCAAAATTAAATTTATTTTACTTTGCACCATTAGAAAAATACCAGTGAAATTTTAATAAAATTGCACACTTATTGAAAAAAAAATAATTATATGAAAATTGTATGCCAATTAATTGATGTAATTTTCAAATTATTCATATAGAATTTTGTATCTTAATATGGTCAACTTTGGTGCCAAGTTCTACTGATATCTGATCAAATCAGTGGAAGGAGTAGGTCTTTGGAAGAATTTCATGTACATGTATTGTTTTAAGTTTTAGAAACCATGGCCACAATGTCATCAAAATCAAAAACTGATATATAAAATTGTGTTTTTGATGCACTCTACTCTTGTACCAAGTTAAGACAAAAACTTTAGGAAAGGGGGGGGGGGGGGGATTTGAATAATTTAACAGATTATTATATTTTAAGTAACTACAGCAACAAAATTCATCAAAATCAGAAACTGATCAACATATACATGTATATTCATGCATCTTACTCAACTTGTGTTTTATATTTTCCTGAAATCAGATCAAATCTGTTACACCTCATCTCCATGAGAAATTCTATATTCTGTGAATGAACTTACAACTGCATTGCTTCTCCACCATGTTTCCTTTCCAAAACTGCTCTTTTATGACTGAAGGTATCAAAGGTATGGAATCCATGATAGGAACCTATACCACTGGAACCAACTCCTCCAAATGGCAGGGACATCACTGAAACCAAATCATTCCCAAATAAATCCCTGATTGTTTTGAGCTAATTTACGTACAGTAGTATATATATCTAAGGACATCACTGAAACCAAGTCATTCCCAAATAAATCCCTGGTTGTATTGAACTAATTTACATAGTATATATCTAAGATTACTGCATTTTTCTAAACTTCTGGCAATGAACTTATATGGTTGAAATCAAATTTACAAGGCTTGCGGACAGTTAACAAATGAAATCACATAATCAGCAATATTCTCTAATATGTTTTACGGGGTGACCGTTGGGGCGAGCGCAGTTGTACCTTCAAAAATCTATATAGCAGCTTACACTTGTTACGTTGATCCGCCTTTTCAAACGTCAAACCGCACGAGACACAACTGTGACGTCAGATGATGTCGGAATTTACGGAGGGAGCCAGTGTCTGGTTGAACGAGACTAAAGATCTTGTGCGATAATAAATGAAATACGTTGTAGCGATGATGTAATTATTTTTTGTTTCTTTTAAGCTCTCTTCAAAGAAAGAAAAGTAAACCTATATCTCGGTAATGAATAATTATCCTTGGTCTTTTGTATGTTTTGTAAGAATTTCGCATGGAACCCTGGTAGCGAAGGAATTCTTGGAAAGTTGCACCAGAAAATTTGCCTGACATATGTACAGATTTCATTCTGAATTTTCTCTGTTCTTACACGTTAGTCTATTGAGCTCACTGCGCTCGCTATTAATTGTACTAACATGCATATATGCTGTCATTTTTAATTGACTACTTATTAATGATTAGATTTATTTACATAATACACTATTTTACAATCCTAATTATTAAATATGGTAACACCAGAGTCAGAGGTCATACCATATTGAAAATGTTGATTTGAACATGTATAGCCTAAAGAAGGTTATAAATGTAATTTATTCTAGATTTGCTTTATACAACAGATAATATTCACAGTCCATCTAATGTAAATTTAATATAATCATCCCTAAGTGTATGCCTCACTGATAAATAAATTGCAATGACATAAATTTTCCTAAAATGGTAATTTCAAATCAATATGCAGAGCCAAAAATTTTAGCAAGGCAAAGATATATGTACCCTCATTTATCTTCAATGATAAATTACTATCTACCAACTGAAAACACCAGAACTGTTTCTAATCCTATGAGTCTTGTCCATAGACAAGTATACTTACATCCAGCATGCATCATGGTGTCATTGAAGACAAAACCTCCACTGCTTGTGTTTTGTAAGAATCTTTCAGCTACAGTGTGGTCCTTTGAGAAAACGTACATAGCTAGAGGCTTTTCCCTGAAATGTAAAATTAAAAAATTCAAATAATTTTGCCATTTGCACCATAAAAAAATGTTATTTAGGCCAAAAAAATTAATCAATAGTTTCTCAGGCACAGCCGCATCAGGTCAAACACTGCCGCATTGATCAATTTTATTGACATATTGAAAAGGGAAATAACTCAATTTTTCTATTTTTCCAAGTTTAAAAGAAAACTGAGTTATTCCTCTTTTCACAAATGATAATAGATAGACGTTTTTATTACATGAACAATACATTTCTTGTTAATACGGCAATTTATGAATTAACTTTGTTTGGAAAAACTTTATTTAAAGTTAAATACATATTATAATTAATGTAAAAGAACAAAAAAGTAAGAATCAGTTGATATCATCATTTTGTTGAACGACTGACATGAAAAAAAAAATGTATAACACCTACTTCCAAAAAAAAAAAAAAAGAATCTGCCTGCCACATTTAATTTTGAAATTTTTGGTCTGAGAAACTACTAATTAATTTTTTATGGCCTTATGCAATGTAATTTTAATAATTATATACATGTAACTTTTTGACAAGCATAAAAGTAGATTTTATTACCCTTTGTTGATGTAATTAATGGCTTCTTCATCATTTTTAACAGACATGATGGGGAGAACTGGACCAAACACCTGTCATACAACATTTGTTTACTCATAATGATTGCCACAATACATAACACATACAACAATGCCATAACCTTCAGGTTATGGTTTGTTTGTATTGTAGATTTCTACACTTTATGTATTTAAAAACAGTCTTTAGTAATTGACATCAATTTTGAAAATATCTGAATTTCTTTAAAAAAAAAATTGTACCATTAAAGAAAAACCATCTGAACAAGGTTTTTTAACCTTTACACATAGAAAATATTGGTACCTACACATAAAGTACATGTATTAATATCCAAATATCAAGATTTAACATATCAAAATTTATAAAGGTCATTAAATTCTAATGAATTTATACATTCCACACATTAGGAAAAGTATTTGTTACTCCCCTTTAATTCAGTCAGCTTACCTCTTCCTGCATGACAGGATCTGTTTCTTTGACGTCGGTGAGGATGGTGGGGGCAATATATTTCTGTTCCTCATCTACTTCTCCTCCCAGCGCCACCTTCCCAGATCCATCAATCAGCTTCTTAATACGCCTTCACATTAAAAATACACCTTAACATTAAATATATGCCTTAACGAGGTTCGTTCCTGAGCTTTTGAGCAGATTTTTGTCTTGATCTCTATTTAAAAAAATTCTGTGTAATGTTTTGGTTCTTACAATAAATCTGGATTCTACAATGCTAATTAAACTATATTCAATTAAAACCTTATGATTAAATTCCATACCGAAATCATTAAGTAAGGAACTATGTTTTGTGGCAGAAGGTTTTTTTAGAAGAAAATGATAAATTTTTCTCTTTCGAAATATTTACAGTATTGTTAAGTTTAGATTCCTATTTTTACATGCAGCCCGCACAAAGAGTTATTTTGTGCAGAGAAATGTTTTATGTTGCTCCTAAATAATATATTAAATTAACCATCATGAATTCTATCATCATATTGGACAAATATAGCAAATATATTGAGAAAGTCCTGGGAAAAAAAAGGTCACTTTTGGCTAAAAATGAACACTATTTTAGTTATATCTGAAAATTAACATCACAGATCCCACTTTTAATTTTCTTTTCTGAATATACAAGATAATTCTAACCATTCTGCTTAAATTCAGAAAAATGTCATTACTTTCATATGATTTTATTGCTTGTTAAATTTTTAATGCCAGAAAAGGGACATTTTTTGAGCACAAAAAGGTCAAATAATTGACTATGCAAAGTAATTTGAAACTTTTTTTGTTGTTACAAATTTGAAAGAGACTATTCATGATGAAAAAAGACTGTGGTTGTTCCCATAATTTATTTGGATAAAAAATATTAGAGGAAAAACTTTGAAACATTGATTTATGTGCTAGATGTAATTACGGTGCAAAAAGGACATATTAAATGCTCTGTAGCGCCAAAAGAAGCGCATTGACCCCCATTTTTGGTTTTGATTTTTATTTAAGCTTTATGTATAGATTTCAAAAATATACTTGATGAAAAATTCTCAATACTTTTGATAACAGGATCCAACCTCCTTAACATTTAAAATATGAGGGTCATTCAAAAAGTTCATAGACTTTTGTCATAACTTTTTTTATTTAACGTCATATTACAACCAATTTTGTTACACATATTTTAACAACAGATTCAAATAATTTGAGTAAAAATATTGGAATTTATCTTGATATTTATCAAAATTATCAAAGATTTAAGACAGCAAAAATGGGGTCACGGAGCAGGGTCAAAATTGAGTTATTTACTAATTTTACATTTTATAATGTTTATAGCCATACATGTACCTCTAATGAATGGTGCTTAAACAAAATAAAATTTATTAAATGTTTAAATTTAGTATTGTTCTATTACTTCAGATGCTTAAAGGTAATGTAATATATCGCTTCATTTAAAAGATATCAATTTCTATTCTAAAGACAGATAGACTTGATTTAAAAAAGCAAAAAAAGCATGACGTCGAAGGATGTCACGGAGCAGCAAGTAGCAATAAAATTTTGTTTTGCATTCGGCAAACCTCTAAAACAAACTCTTATAATGCTGGAGGAACTAGGAAATATAAAAAATGGCCTGTGGATTTGTATGTAATGGAAAAGACAATTTTTGTGTGGTAGATACTTTGAATCGAACGATGGATGATCTGCGAAGAAACAGAATATAGTTAAAAATCTTGTCAAAAGAGTTAGTAACGTCATGAAACGTCATGTACGCTTCACTGTTGTGGAACTTGTGAAAGCAGAGTTTGCAGTAAAGAATTTGAAAACACTGACAATCTAACTTCAGCTACTCGAACAATTGTTAGCAAACTTGGTGTCAAGTGTTATGGATACGTTTTATATGAACTGGGAAGACACTACAAACCGTGTATGAAATGAAAAGGCAGAGCAATTTTGAGAAACTTTCTTGGCATTGTTTTTGACGTTACAATGTTGTTAACTGTGCTCCATGGTGATAAAACATGTTGCTTTTAAAACTGGCTAACATGAATTCTATTTAATCAAATGGAATGAAACTTCACAAATCAATAAAATAAATGTTTTTTTATATGAAAATGTGTTGATCTTTAATCTTGTAAAAATAATATGATGATGAGGAACATTGTCTACGTATTTTTTGAATGACCCTTGTACACCTTAGAATTACAAAACAGCCTTATAATCAAATGTGTAGTTTCTCATTCAAATATCAAATCCTCGTGCTCTATTCAATGATTACCTAATCAGACTTTGTCTAATTCTTTTGTTATTTTTTCTTGCTGAAATGTGTTTTCTTACAACTTAGGAGCCTTTCGGTGAACCTACCTGAGATGTCTTTCATTTATGATTCTTCCGTAATCTTCACATTTGCCTATATCTGGATAGAACTCTTCTACAGCCTTCTTGCATTCCTCCACCAGTTTGTCCTACAAGCAAAATAGAATCCTTATGACTGCTTCATTCATAACTTTGTACATATCTGATAATTTGTATCAGAGCTGAGTTGTTTCTACAGGTAATGATCATCCTTTTAGTAAAGTTACATGTACGAGGAGGTTAACCTTCTGTCCATAAGCTTTTCAACACAAAAAATTATAGAACATATCCAGGTCAAAAAAAGCAGATCAAAAAAGTTGGAAATTAATTCTTTTTTTCTATTTTTTCCCCATTTGCACAATGATATACATTTGAAAATTGTTGTCTCGAACACCTATATCCCAAATACTTGGGATATGAAGAAGTAATTTGGCAGTCCCTGCACCCACTTTTTAATCCTGGTCCTGTCAAGTTCTTGATAACCAGGTTTAACTGTAATCAGTAATTTACACTCTAATAATATGCACATATACTGTATGTGTACTTTAAAAAGCAAGCTTCATATTTTAGTGGCTTTGGTGCAGACAACGATGCGCTATTTTATGAATACCGCTAAGAAATCATTTATATATACAATATACGGCACGGACATGTGTAGCACTAATTCGTGATTACGTCAACAACTCCATACCCAGTGATTGCACTAAATTTTGAATATGTCAATTCATGTACACGTACAGTATATCTCTTTGTAAAACAATTTTTTCACATGCAAGACACAGAGGCTGAGGGAATTGCCAAAATTTGTTGCTGTGTAAAAGTAAATTATATCTGATCTCTTTAGTATACAGTTCTGTATCTAATAGAGATGTAACGATACGGCTGAAGCATACCATGATATATCGTGATTCATATTATGTATCAAGGTATTTCACATATTTTCATACAAATTATGGCTCTTTGTTCTAAAATGGAAAACTATCACAATGTATAATGATAAAAGATATAAATCATTTCTGAGAATCTGTGCACAGAGCATCTGGGTAATCATAATTATGGTACCAAATGCAATTGAACCAAGAAAATTTTTTCTTTTTTAATTGACTTATTCATTTTTTTCTATCATAAAAAAAAATTATGTGATGAAATCTCTGAGTGTACTCTTGCATCATTTATTTTATTCTCTTTATGGGTGTATAAAGACAGAAGATTTTTGACTTTTTCTCTCATTTTGATGACTTTCTTTCTATAAGTGGGGTCCTTGTTACCTGTATTTCTTTTTTGCACATGACGTAATCTGGGGCAATACATGTCTGTCCACAGTTGGCCAGTTTTCCCCAGGACACCCTCCTTGCCACTAGACTGAGATCACTGTTCTCATCTACATAAACAGGGCTGAAATGACAAAATCTACATAAACAGGGCTGAAAAGACAAAATGTATTCATGGAAAAATTCAAAAATCTCTAAAACTGATACAAATTTTAAAAGTACTCTTTATTTTTGTATTAGGAACATTACATCTACTTTCTTAGAAATTAGATACCAGGTATACCCTGCTTTGTCATAATTCATTTTATTTCTAGAAACATAAATGTAGGTAAAGAGACCTTTTTCCTCCCAGCTCTAGTGTCACTGGTGTCAGGTGCTCTGCAGCAGCCTTCATGACAATTTTTCCCACCATTGTATTTCCTGTGTAGAAGATGTAGTCAAACTTCTCCTTCAACAGAGCTGTGGTCTCTGGGACTCCACCATTCACAATTTTAACACAGTCCTGTTACAGCAAACACTGGTTTTAATTAACAGTATAAGGTAAACTTAGGTTATCTATAACAACAATTTCCTGATTCATGGTTAACAAAATTTAATTTTTAGCATTCCAGTATACATGTATTTATCATATGTTTAACAATTTATGGAAAGGATTTATTGATTCCTGTCTAATTCAAGACACAATAAACTCTACAGTGAATATGGTGAAAGAAACAAAATTCTGAGAGAATACTTACACAAAGCAATGTTTCATAAACAGTGTACCTTTCCTGTCAGATCAAGTACATTTTTGCTACTATCAGAGCCCTGAATTAGAACTGGTCATTTTTCTCTACCTTTTTATTCAGGTTTCCAGTTTAACTAAGACACAGGTATATTTTGTTTAATCTTAAGGCACCTTTACCTCAGGTGACACCTGTCTCCATACAGGTATACTCCGTAATTCATAAAATTAATTTGGGTCAAGAATCTACGGTTAGAGTACTTTGTACCTTTTATTTCTAAAGAATACCAGAAAACATACATTATCTAGGTATCTGGGCAGCAGCTCCTCCAAAAGTTTGGCTGTGGAGGCTGCCATCTCTGAGGGCTTCAGAACAACACAGTTCCCCGCTGCTAGAGCTCCCAAGACAGGGAGAACGGTGATCTGAATGGGGTAGTTCCAGGCCCCGATAACCAAGGCAACTCCGTACGGCTCCCTCTGTATGTAGGCAGTGTCCATGATGTTCAATAACGGTTTCTTTGCCTGTAAAACATGGATTATTAAGGTTTACAAAGCTCACCTCAATGAATCAACTCTAAATAAACATCTACAAAATATATTATCCAATGTTGCATGTAGAATGCAGTCCTTGATGCATCATACACATAGGTTTAAAGAAGGTAAAGCTTTTAAGTGCATGTATTATTATGTACTGAAGAATCTTGGCCTCTTGTTTTACATACTTTCCTATAAATAATTAATCCCCTTGGATGGCCCCACTCTAGCCTCTGAGTCTTACAATAAGAATCTTGCTTGTTCAAATGTCTTAGTCAAATCAAGAATAAAACCATCATATAACTTAGAAATACCTTTTCTGGCTTCATCCAGTCCTTTAAGTTATTCATTGTTTCAATCAAGTCATTTCTACAGAAATCAATTTCAAACACTGTTGACTCCAAAGAGGGCTGCAAAAGATAAACTTACAAATAATCATATCTATAGGATATGTTGAAATCTAGTTAATAAATACATTATTATTTACATTAATATATAGCCAAATTTTAAAGAAAATAAAGGGCACACAGATGTGTTTTAATTTTCTTCTTTGCCAAAGTCATGGTGTTTCTGATAATCACAAAATCTTAAACTTAGATCTTGAGGGGAAAACAGAAAGAGTCAATTAAAATGCTGTGACTTTGACAACTCTAACTACATACAAGGATTAACATTGCATGGGCGGCACACTGTTTTTGGAAATAAATCTGGTAATGAATAGAATTTGAAGCATCAGGCAAACACTCAATGTTGTTCATCAAGTTTCAGTGTTATTTTTTCGGGTGTCACAAAGGGTAATTCATTGTCTTTAGAATTAATATTCATGAAATCATTGTTTACCAAATATCTTGTGAAATTCAGATGTATGACACCTCAATGTAAGTTTCAAAATTATTGTCAATTTTCAATGTTTTAACATTTAATATCCATACTTTTAACATCAATCTTTAAGTCAAAAATGTACAAAATTCTTGACCACATGCTTTAAATTGTTCTCCCTTACAAAGAGAGCTACATGTACTTCAAACTATGGCTGATGTCAAAGTAGTGCTGAGTAGTTAAGTATCATTGACAGCATTTTAGTTTCCTAGCTATCTTTGAATAACATTATACACTGCATTTTGCAGGACTGAAAAACTCATAGCAATCTAATTACAGCACATTATTACGAACAAAAACATATCTCCAACCATCAAGTGGATAAAGACCTCTAACCCTTGAAGAGGAACTATCTACACAGACCAAAAGATTTGCTATACATTCCATCAAATGTTAAGAGCCATTCTCTGTTACGACTTGAACATTTATATAGGAGCTGTGGCACGCATAGTCTCTGAATTTCTCCAAACTCTCTATGATAAAAGTCTTTGACACCGTTAACTCAAATCAGACAGAAATTGGTTGCTATGTGTCATGGTTACCATGACAACATGTCCTAAAGTTTGAAAAATGGCATTTTTCAACATGTTCCGAGTCCCACAGTTAACGTTTGCAGCAAAGCAAATAAGTGGCAATGATTGTTTCTGAAAGTTGAAGGCCTGATGTCTTAAATGCATGATAAACATGTTTGGTATTTCAACTATTACATACGTTTCTATGGAAACAAAGTATTCAAAAGTAATAATTTTGCCCATTTAATTTTATAAAATTATACACTTAAGAATAAAAAAAAATTATAGGTTGAAATGTAAGCAAATTATAGACAAAAGATCCTTGTAACATATACCAAGGAAGAAATATGATATTTCTTATAGGTTGACAATGGTTGCCATGGTTTTAATACCACAAAGGGATTTTGAATTCACTCTCTTAGTGTTTAAATCTAATCCTATCTTTTTAAAAAGCATATTTCTATATAACTAATGATCAATTTTTAAAGACGTTCATGTGACCCAAATTTTCACATTTCAAAAAATTCAAATTCAATTCTTTAAATAGAGCGTTGCTATGGAAATAAGCCGAAAAAATATGCATAAAAATCTGAAAAATATTCTGTTTCCTTGGATACGTACCCTTGTATGTAGATTCCCAAAACTTTTATGATTGATAATTATGAACAACTAACCTGACTTTCAATTTTGACTGCCAGCCAATCTCTAACTGGATGCAAAAAGCTGGCACATAGGGTTTAATATTGATATGAAATTAACAAAATTGAACATTTTCCCTTCTTGGTTACCATAGCAACAGTGTTGTATTTTTCAACAAATGTTATCAATATATGATATTCAACTTAAGTTCTACCAAATAAGTACTATTCAAGGTGAGTCAAATAATATGTTTCTTGAATAAAAGGTAAGTAAATTCCTACGGCAGCAAAAAAAAATCACTTTAAACAACTGGTACATTGCTTCCATGGTTACACTGCAACGTAACAATTAATCCCAATTTTTCTTATGTTGTCGGTATTCCAAGGTCCTAAGGATGTATATGTGCCAGTCATGAAATTTATTGTTTTTCCTGAAGATAGTAGCATTAACCCAATCTTAGCAACACATTTTGCATGGTAACACTGTGTTACCATGGCAACCATGAAAGTTATTTTTAGAATAATATTGCCAATACCTAATTACTTAAGGTCAAATATTTTTATTGTTTTTTCTTAGGTTGTTGATCGAGTTTGATCATTTAAAACCTGTCATTGGTGAATATTGAGCGTTTTTCTGCATTTTTCAGCATCTAAAATGTATTCCAAATGTACCCATGGTTACCACTTACTTAGAGATAAATTCTATGTAGTTTCTTTATAGCATAAGTGGCAACAAGGTGTCAGGTTTTTGTGAGAATGGTTTGTTTCCTATTCTTAGTCTTTATTAAGGCTTAATAAAGATTCAAAGTAGCTGAAAATCTCAATTTTCCCAACTTTTCTGGCTGTTACCATGGCAACCAAGACACATAGCAACGAAATTTTATTTGATATATGTTTCTGGTGTCAAGTTGTTATAACGGGCAAAGTTTCATCAAAATCGGTGACCATGCGTGGCAAAGAAGTTTAAGTGGTTACAGAGAATCGCTATTAATATACCTTGTGTAAATCTTCTTTCAGGGCCTGAGAAATTCTCTCTCTGTTTTCATCCAGGAATGAGAGAACTCCCTCCAGTTGTTTTTTACGCCATTCATATGATTTTGTCACACCACTCTTGAATGCTCTGCGAAGACCTTCCATCATCTACACATATGAAAAAGATAAATTAATAGTTAATATACTTCCATGTTTTGTCTTCCAACTTGAGGCATAAAAGAAGCCCATGAGCCACAGTGCTCACCTGTGTTGCACTGCCTACTAACTTATCATTGAATACCCAATGTAGAACACGTACTAGTTTTTGTTTTATCAGATCAGCAATGCTAATCTCATGTAAGGAAATGATCAGTATAAATATAACAAATCTAACCATATACTAATAACATTTTACAGTCTCAAAAAAATATATCTGTCAGTCACGAGTGTTACAGCAAACAGAGGTAATCTAAGATTACAAAGACCACCTTGACGAATGTTACCTGTAAGAAAACCAAAGTCTCAAACCTATTAAATAAATATTTTGGTAACTTGCACACCTAGATACAACATTCCATACAAGTTTGGTCTAGGTAGAACTTACAGTAACTTGGGTTTTTACCTATTATGAAACTATTCAATCATCAATCAAGGTCAAACTCAGCTTCCAAAGTAGGTCTGGTAGTGTGAATTAATCCCTCTATCATGTCTATAAAAGTTTGTTTAAGGAGGCCTTAAGTTACTTTGACATACATATGTTTCAAAAACTTCAAACTGGTCACTTATAAGGAAAATGTACATCAGATCTGGCATCCAAAGCATGTCTGGTTATGTCAGGGTTCGACACTCGTTAAAATTTGGTCTTGCCATTTGGGCAACCTTGGTATTGATTTCAGGTTGCCCGAATGAATTTCAGGTCGCCCGAACAAAATATCAAAAGAAACAAAAAATGTGCAATTGTTTAAAATTTGTTAAGATTACAGAGGTTGTGCTATTGTAAAATGTAAAAAAAATATTTTTGGAATATCAAAATCTGTCTTCCAGTATATTATCAAACAAAGAAAACAAGCAACAAATATTAATAAGCAGAATCAGAATGCTAATTAGGCTTAAAAAAAATTATTTGTTTCATGTATAATATTCCCAGTAAATCAAGGGTTGGTAGGATGGGACTTTATTTATTTTTTGCTAATATACAGTCTCACCTTACATATTGACACAAAATAAAGTTTCTCGTTTAAAACATTCATTTTCACTTACTAAAAAGGCCTTAATAATGGGGTCAAACATCCCTGGACTGAATTAACCAGGTGTGATGTTTACAGTGGACACCCAACATGGCTGTCTAGCAGCAGAAAACGAACATCAGTCGATCAGAAAGTTGTGGGGGAAATACTAGATGTTACAATAATGATCATTACTCTTTATATTTATGGTGATTGTTGACTAGGTTTACATATTTTATATCTCAAATAAAACTTAATTTAACACTTTTGGTAAAAATTACATCAGCTGATTGATCAAACACAGATTTGGCAGAAAGAAAAATCCACGCGGCTGCTAATCGAATGGGTCGATCGGGTTACAGGAATCAATGTTTTCAAGGCCTTATAGAGTTTATTTTAAAATATTAAACATCATTATTGAAAATTCCCAACTCGTCCCAGGTCGTCATTTGGGCGAGCCAGACTGAAAATCAGGTCGTCCAAAATCAATCAGGGGTGGAAATGACGAGGTGACGAGCGTGAATGTCGAACCCTGTTATGTGCATCCTTAGATGTATCATCTATGCAAGTTTAGTCACCATATGGCTTGAAGGCTACTTGGGAATAGATCCTTTCTGAAAACTTTCTGTTTAATTATCTGGAAAATGTAGATCAGATTCAGCATCTCAAGAGTATCTGATAGTGTACTGAAACATTCTCCATGCAAGTTAAGTCACCATGTGGCTTGCAATTTACACTGTATTTGGGAATAGATCTGTCCAAAAACTTTAACCTGTGCAATCAAATTGACAATGTAGGTCAGATCCAGCATATGAAGCAAGTTGGGTAATGTGCATCCCTAGATGCATCATTCATGCGAGTTTGGTCTAGGTAGAGCCTATAGTTACTTGGGAAAAGACATGCTTCAAAAACAATAACTTGTTCACTCATCTGGAAAATGAGATCCAGTACCTGAAGCAAGTCTGGTAGTGTGCATCCCTAAATGCATCATCCATGCTACGCAAGTTTGGTCCAAGTAGGGCATATAGATACTTAGAAAATGACCTGCTCAAAAAAACTTAAACTTGTTCACTCATCTGGAAAATGTAGGCCAGATCCAGCATCTTAAATAAGTCTGATGGTATGCATCATTCATGCAAGTTTAGTCACCATAGGGTTTATCAATACTCAGCAATGACACCTGCTCCAAAAACTTTAACCTGTTCACTCATTTGGAAAATGTAGGTCAGATCCAGAATCTGGGGCAAGACTGGTATTGTGCATCCCTTAATGGCAATGAATTATCCATGCAGGTTTGTTCACCATACTTTGGAATGACACTTTAACCTGTTCTCTCAAATATAAGTCAGATTCACAGGACTGTCCCTAAGAATTACAATGGCAGGAGGCATTAAAAAAGTAGACGGGAGTCTTGGGTTCCTCCCCTAACAAGGAGTTAAGGGGGAATACCACTTAATTACCAGAAGAACCAGGTAATAACGGGCAATAACATCATTATAGGCGGGAAAATTCCCCGGCCCCCCAGGTCTTAGGAACAACCCTGGATTCAGCATCTGTAGCAAATCTGGTAACATTGACATTGAAAAAAGTGTACGTAACCTAGCTGACACTGGTAGAATTTCAAGTATCTAAAATCCTTATTTTCCATTGTTAACTTAAAAGTTTTTTTAAAAAATTCTTTGTCAGATACATGTATTTTCAACGTTCCATGACAGAAAAATTTAAATGAATGTATAACTAAATTTTACAGGTGACTGGCATTTAAATATTCGATATATTAATATGCCAAAGTGTGCACAATTCCTGTGCTCAATAATTATTATTTCTTGATAAATATCTACTTTATGAATAAAATAAACGTGCTGGACAGGTAAAAAAAAAGTGACTTGACACTCAGATGAATTATGCCACCTTAAGCAAGTACCTATGCGTAAAATATTTCAAATTAAAAAAAAAGAAGACATTTATCGTGGAATTCAATATTATGGGTAAAAACAGATGTTTCAATTCAATTAGGCCTACTTGAACATGGGGTTACAAACCGGAACGATTTCATGATCGCTTACACGTTCCTAGAAAAAAAAATCCCAAACCATTATAAAAATAAAAAGAGAAAAATCAGGATTCAAAAATGTAAGCCTCTTTCAGAAATGTCACAATCCTACCTCGCTATAATCTGCCATTCTTGCCGACTAATTTCAACTCGACAACTGCTTCCCTTCGACTTTGTTCATCACATGAAAATCCTCGGATATCGAGCCCGATCTTTTAGTGTCCGATCTCACCATGATTGAACACTCGTTCATTCTTGTGCTCTCAGGCCTACGATAAGTAAATAAATAAAATAAAATAAATTTTAAAAAAAACAATCTTGATATTGAATTAATCTAATTATCCACTAGTTGTTAACTACCCCCCCCCCTCCCCAATACCCAAACTCAGATAAGATTTACCGATACTAATTTGGGCTTACAAAACATATTAGCATATTGCGCACACACAATTAGTAACATGTATATTTGAAGAGTCTATTACTTAACCAGTCAGGCAGTTCGGAAAAACAAATTCTGGTATGACTCTAGATTATGTAATTGGAGAGGGAAGGCCTAACCCGATTGAATTGAATGACCTAATAGTTTATGTGTTTTTCATATAGATGTTGTAAAATCCTTTTTAGTCTAGGTATCATTAAGTAAGGCAATTATTTGAACTTAGGTAAGGAAACTGCTTATATAATTTTAAAAAAGCACAAATATAAATTAATGGAATGGAATTAAGAATATTAAAGAATGGATTAAAATAGCTAAAAAAAAAACAAAAAAAAACAAAAAACAAAAAACAAAAAAAAAAAAACCTGTCCGCATCCACCAATCAACAAAGGAATCTAAAAATTAAAAAAATAACAATAACCCCAATCTCACCCCCGAAAACTAAACAAAGGCAGTTTAGAACTTGGTTATCAATTTCAAGCAGGTATATAAGGGAGTCCATTTGTTTCTTTCTGGCACGTTGTATCATCTTTGAAAAAAAAACGAGGGGAGGAGGGGAAGAAAACAAAGGCAACTTGCTTAAAATAACTTTGACAAACCAACAAAAGAAAAAATAAGGGGGAGGGGGGCAAACTCGAAAATCTTTTATTGTGTGTATGTGTGTGTGTGTGGGGGGGGGGGGGGGGGTTAAGGTTAAGACTTCTTTCACAGCAAAATAATGTTTATACTTATTCATACACATTTGCCTAGTTTGCCTATACTGCCAAAAAAAAAGTGGTGGGCTAGGCAGCTTTTCAACGAACATTTTAAACAGTAAAGGATGTGTCCCCTCCCCGCCCCGTGATATACTACGACCCTGTACATGTATTTATTAAGGAAACGGAACAAAAATACTAGTACATCTGATTTACACATGAAATAAACATAAAATATAAGTGAAAGTAACGGTTAAGCAGAACATAAACGGTCACTTTCATAGCTATCCCAGGTTGGTTAAATCCTTATCCAGTCTGGAAGGAATAAAAACCATTTGCTAAGAACATAATCCGCTCAGGTAGAAACATTATCAAGTAACTTTTAAAACCTAAAACTGAACCTAAAACATTCAGTTTGAAACCTTACCAAGTCGGGCAGAAATTATGAATAAGGCAAATTAGAAACCTAATCCACTCATGCAGGAACTGCAAATAGTCAGTTTAGAATGTAACCCAGTCAGGCAGAAACATGAACAAGTCGGTGAAAAACCTAACCCAGTAAGGCAGAATCATAAACAGTCAGTTAAGAACCTAGGCAGGAACATAGAACTGTCAGTTTAGAACCTAACCACTCAGGCAGAAACCTTACCCACTCAGGCAGACTTATAAAACAGTCAGTTTAAAACCTAACTCAGTCAGGCAGAAACCAAACCCACTCAGGCAGAGTCATAAAACAGTCAGTTTAGAACCTAACCACTCAGGCAGAATCATAAAACAGTCAGCTTAGAACCTAACCCAGTCAGGCAGAAACCAAACCCACTCAGACAGAGTCATAAAACAGTCAGTTTAGAACCTAACCACTCAGGCAGAATCATAAAACAGTCAGTTTAGAACCTAACCACTCAGGCAGAAACCTTACCCAGTCAGGCAGAGTCATAAAACAGTCAGTTTAGAACCTAACCACTCAGGCAGAATCATAAAACAGTCAATTTAGAACCTAACCCAGTCAGGCAGAAACCTATCCCAGTCAGGCAGAATCATAAAACAGTCAGTTTAGAACCTAACCACTCAGGCAGAATCATAAAACAGTCAATTTAGAACCTAACCCAGTCAGGCAGAAACCTAACCCAGTCAGGCAGAATCATAAAACAGTCAGTTTAGAACCTAACCACTCAGGTAGAAACCTTACCCACTCAGGAAGGGTCATAAAACAGTCAGTTTAGAACCTAACCACTCAGGCAGAATCATAAAACAGTCAATTTAGAACCTAACCCAGTCAGGCAGAAACCAAACCCACTCAGGCAGAGTCATAAAACAGTCAGTTTAGAACCTAACCACTCAGGCAGAAACCTTATCCACTCAGGCAGAGTCATAATACAGTCAGTTTAGAACCTAACCACTCAGGCAGAATCATAAAACAGTCAGTTTAGAACCTAACCACTCAGGCAGAAACCAAACCCACTCAGGCAGAGTCATAAAACAGTCAGTTTAGAACCTAACCACTCAGGGAGAAACCTTATCCACTCAGGCAGAGTCATAATACAGTCAGTTTAGAGCCTAACCACTCAGGCAGAAACCTTACCCAGTCAGGCAGGGTCATAAAACAGTCAGTTTAGAACCTAACCACTCAGGCAGAAACCTTATCCACTCAGGCAGAGTCATAATACAGTCAGTTTAGAGCCTAACCACTCAGGCAGAAACCTTACCCAGTCAGGCAGAGTCATAAAACAGTCAGTTTAGAACCTAACCACTCAGGCAGAATCATAAAACAGTCAATTTAGAACCTAACCCAGTCAGGCAGAAACCTATCCCAGTCAGGCAGAATCATAAAACAGTCAGTTTAGAACCTAACCACTCAGGCAGAATCATAAAACAGTCAATTTAGAACCTAACCCAGTCAGGCAGAAACCTAACCCAGTCAGGCAGAATCATAAAACAGTCAGTTTAGAACCTAACCACTCAGGTAGAAACCTTACCCACTCAGGAAGGGTCATAAAACAGTCAGTTTAGAACCTAACCACTCAGGCAGAATCATAAAACAGTCAATTTAGAACCTAACCCAGTCAGGCAGAAACCAAACCCACTCAGGCAGAGTCATAAAACAGTCAGTTTAGAACCTAACCACTCAGGCAGAAACCTTATCCACTCAGGCAGAGTCATAATACAGTCAGTTTAGAACCTAACCACTCAGGCAGAATCATAAAACAGTCAGTTTAGAACCTAACCACTCAGGCAGAAACCAAACCCACTCAGGCAGAGTCATAAAACAGTCAGTTTAGAACCTAACCACTCAGGGAGAAACCTTATCCACTCAGGCAGAGTCATAATACAGTCAGTTTAGAGCCTAACCACTCAGGCAGAAACCTTACCCAGTCAGGCAGGGTCATAAAACAGTCAGTTTAGAACCTAACCACTCAGGCAGAAACCTTATCCACTCAGGCAGAGTCATAATACAGTCAGTTTAGAGCCTAACCACTCAGGCAGAAACCTTACCCAGTCAGGCAGGGTCATAAAACAGTCAGTTTAGAACCTAACCACTCAGGCAGAATCATAAAACAGTCAATGTAGAACCTAACCCAGTCAGGCAGAGTCATAAAACAGTCAGTTTAGAACCTAACCACTCAGGCAGAAACCTTATCCACTCAGGCAGAGTCATAAAACAGTCAGTTTAGAACCTAACCACTCAGGCAGAATCATAAAACAGTCAATGTAGAACCTAACCCAGTCAGGCAGAGTCATACAACAGTCAGTTTAGAACCTAACCACTCAGGCAGAAACCTTATCCACTCAGGCAGAGTCATAAAACAGTCAGTTTAGAACCTAACCACTCAGGCAGAATCATAAAACAGTCAGTTTAGAACCTAACCACTCAGGCAGAAACCTTACCCACTCAGGCAGAGTCATAAAACAGTCAGTTTAGAACCTAACCACTCAGGCAGAAACCTTACCCACTCAGGCAGAGTCATAAAACAGTCAGTTTAGAACCTAACCACTCAGGCAGAATCATAAAACAGTCAGTTTAGAACCTAACCACTCAGGCAGAATCATAAAACAGTCAGTTTAGAACCTAACCACTCAGGCAGAAACCTAACCCAGTCAGACAGAATCATAAAACAGTCAGTTTAGAACCTAACCACTCAGGCAGAATCATAAAACAGTCAGTTTAGAACCTAACCACTCAGGCAGAAACCAAACCCACTCAGGCAGAGTCATAAAACAGTCAGTTTAGAACCTAACCACTCAGGCAGAGTCATAAAACAGTCAGTTTAGAACCTAACCACTCAGGCAGAAACCTTACCCACTCAGGCAGAGTCATAAAACAGTCAGTTTAGAACCTAACCACTCAGGCAGAATTAAAACAGTCAATTTAGAACCTAACCCAGTCAGGCGGAAACCTAACCCAATCAGATAAGTTGTGTCTGGAGTATAAATATCAAAATACTAGTATATCATTGAATAAACAACTGGTTCTTTATATGCAACAATTGGTCTTGTTAAAGCTGAACACAACTCTTAAATAGGCTTAATTAAGCCATATTATTTTTCTTGTTTCCTATGTCAGCACTGGAACCCTCACCTGACTAATTTAACCTGGTCACTGTTGGATGTAGTGCATGTATTTTTTGTTTACATTTTGTTTTATTGAGGGTGCATTTATGTTTATTTTACTTTGTAATGCATTGACCAGTGCAACTGACATCGAATATCTTTGGTAATTATTTTTCTTGAAGTGGCAGAGGCACACAGATGTCATTTCTGTTGTGCCCAAGTCCATCATAATGACATGAAAGAGATGTCTGTTCAGGTAAACTCTGTAAAGCTAAATACATTGAACACGTTTTCTGTGCTTTCTACATCTTTATTCTTAAATTCTCCCATATCATTCCTGAGGTGTTGATTTCTCAAAGTTCAATTTTCACCATTTAAGGATAGTGCAATTATAGACTTACTCTGTTGTCCAATCCACTCAGTATATTTGTATTTTATATTTCACTTTATAATCACAATTAGTGTGTATAAAAAGGAAGTTTTTCTTTTTTTAAATCA